TATGAACCATTTTACTATTATTCAAAATAAAAAATTTAATACATAAGGTTTTCTCCATTTTAATTAATTTATTTTAATTTTTTACGATTCAATTAAAATAAAAAAACTAAAAGTGATCAATATTAGAACTAGCTGGTAAAGTAAAAACTGGACATGTTCAACCTCGATTATGACAAGTTTTTTATAGAAGCAGTGTTGGGTCTAGGCTGAACCAATCAAAGAACAAGTTCATGGTTGAAATGGCCGAACCAATCAGTTTTGTCCAGTTTTTAAAACCATGCTATAAACTATGAGCCATATTCGTGTCCAGTCTGCATTATAATACAAGTAAAAAGCATTCATATCATACTATTGGCTAACTCCGAAATGTCACTCACTTTTAATTTTATTTGATAGTTGCAAGCATCATCTATATTTTGAGAGTTGTAATGTTGTATAAATTCCTAGTCTTGTAAGTTTACAAGCTATACTCTTTTACTAACAATATGTATGTATGAAGAAAACTTCCCGAATTCTGATATCAAGAGTGTGGAAAAGTTCACTATTTTGAAATTCAAATATATAGAAAATTTTTTGCATAGTAGTCTTCCATATTTCGTAAAATGCTCTTTTTTCAACTTTCTATTTTAGCATGCAAGCAATTTATTTTGATTGACAAAATTTTTATATATTTTAATTTTTTTACCTTGCATCAAGCTGACAAAATTTTCTATTATTTTCATTACATACCCAAACTTTATAATGTCAATTTCCATCAACTTCTAGTTAAACTTTCAATTTCAGAATCTTCTGCTTTTATTTAAAGCATTATTTCCATGCCTTTATAGCTTTAAGAAAAAAACATAAATAAATGCAATTTAAACTTGTATATATTGCATATATTACACACACACACACCATATTTTTAATTTCAATTTTTTGATACATATAAAAGATACCAGGATCCCTTTAACAACCATCACTTTATGTTAGTAAACTAAAAATTCAATGATTTTACGACTTTACCCTATAATGAATCAGAACATGTCCATAGTGGACACCAACAGTTGCTGAAAGGATTGCTGATATTGAACTGAAACAAAACAAAAATAAGCAAAACAAGTAAATAGCTGAAATGATAAGAAAAAACAAACAAAAAACATAAATCATTCTAATATACAAAAATATATTCAGATAAACCTTAACAAGCCCTCCGGTTCAAAGGGACCAAGGCACCAAGATGGAGCATCATCACGAAGAGGCCCCGAGTATGGAGAACTATTAGTACACGTCTGTAGTTCCAAAAGACAAGCAAGCAAATGATGCCTTGCAAAATTAACTCCAAATTTTTGTAAATTTAAAAAGGTTTAGAAGGCTGCAAATATACCTGAGATCGTATCCATACAGGCCATGAATAGAGATGGTTTATACCCCAGACTTGCCTATCAACATAACCAACTGCATTACAAGCAGGACCTAATTGTCCTCTCTTGCCACATTTGACCTGAAAATGAATCGTTAATATATTAATTTAATGGAAGATTTACATACATACCACTTAATTCCTTTGTATTTACATATCTAAGAGCTAGACTTCAATTTTACATATATTCCACCTTAGCTATGCATGAAAAATGAGTATTTCACTTTTTAAAAGTAAACATAGAGGTATTTTTTATGACATGTGAAATATTTGGGCGGTCTAAATGTAAAAAAGTAAAGTTTAGGTGTTAGATATGTAAATAAATGGGAATTGGGTAATATGTATGTGAATGCAGCTTTAAGGAAATGTGATTATCAGATTCAGAACATGCAAAGGCATGCCATGAAACATACCGTAAATGTCTTTCCACCATCTGTTTCTCCATCATTATAGACAAAGTTCCAGTCTGGAACATAAAGTGCAAATGTTGTACACATGTAGACTGAAAATGCAATGAAACCGGCCATCCTAATCAATTATAAAATTTCATATTACATAAGCACCGCAAATAGAGTTTTTCAGATGAAGCAAAGATATTTTTTTTTTCACATATACAAATAATTCAAGTTAAAAACCTTCTTTTTACCCCATTAGTTTCTCAATAACGAAAACAAGAAAGCTGAAAAGAAAGAGCTGTCTAGAAACTAGTTAATATATTTAGGTGTTGTTTTGGTTGCACTATTGATTCATAAAGGATTTTGGCTGAAATTAAGTTAAATCCAGTAAACAGTTTTAGAGGCTGTTTGGCTGCAATTAGGATTTAACATTAACAGGATTTTGTAAAAATCTTAAATATGTAAATCCATAAATCCGTCAAACTCCTGTATTTAGTGAACCAGCGATCTAATCCAAATGGAAGGCAAACTTGGATTTTGTAAATGTGTAAATCCACAAAACTCCCACATCTAGGTGTATGTGTGAATTTAGCAAATCCGGTGATGTATCCTATTAAAAGCACCAGCCAAACAGCCCCTTGTGTTATAGATTTCATAAATCTAGGATTTACCTGGATTTGTCCATACTGGTGGAATGATTTGAAGGTGTAGAATTTAAAGATTTAACAAGAACAAATACTTGCATCCAAATAGTATTCAGGACTTAATTATGAAGGAAGATACTGATTGGAAATTAACCAGTTCTCAAGATTCAACACTTGTAAAATTTATTAATTCCAATTTTAAATAAACCTTAGCAATTAACTCATATAACAATTAGGTTTTCAGGTTAGACGGTTTGCAAGAGTGGATTCCATATTTTTCCAATCTATCGAACCAGCAAAACAGAAAAAATCACAGGGAAAGTGCGTTTTGTTACCATTGCCACCTATATCCTCTAAAGATGGAGAAAAAATTTGAGCCAAGCTCCCTCGGGCGGGTCTTATATGAGAAGACTTCAACGAGAGAGACCACCAAGTACACCAGCGCTATTCTCTGCTCAAACAATAAATTTCTAAAGGGATTCACAATCATTAATGGAAAAAAGGAATAAAAGGATTGGGGTCAGAAGTAAGAACCTGAAGAATGCCACACCAGCGAATCTTCTTCATGTCAACTCCGTAGGAGAGATCATCAGGAGCATGGGAGTATCCACCTTCAATTACAGCAAATGCACCCATTAATCAATATTTTGTTAAAACACTAAAGAAAGGGAACTTAGGTTCTGATATTCCACATTTACGTCCCCTACCTTGAAGCAGAATTCCCCAAAATAGAAGTTTGATTGTTCTGGTGATAATCTTTCTGATTGCATCAGGAGCACTAGAAATCCTCTGCCAACCATTGAAAATAGAAATTATTAGAATTCAGTTCATGACATTCTTCGACTGGAAATTGTTTTCGATTTCCCAAATTCCATCAAGCGTAATCAAGAAAACTGCCTGAAACTCACTGAAACATAAGATCTATGCCAGTTCAAAAAAATCTCAATAAAGAACAATAAGATTCAACAGTTTCTCTTAAAAAAAGGCCATATCAAATCCATTTCACTTAGAATGAAATTGAAAGAAAAGGATGCGTGGGCTAACCTTAAAAGCGAGAGCGATTGACACACCAACAATGAAGAGAAAAAAGGGCATGACCAAATCTGCGAGGGTGCAGCCATTCCATGGCGAGTGATCAATTCGCGGATATGCTTCTCCGGCATCATCCACCAATATCATTAGCTGCAAAAAAAAAAAAAAAAATCTATTTAAAATATTTATGCAGTCCTCAAATCCTTAATTTTTACAAGGAAAAATTACGCATGTACCATATGATTTCACATTCATAAGATTTTGATATCATATCCTTTACATGAAAACATATATTTCACTTTCTAATGGTAAATAATTTTGATATTTTTTTAAATGATATTAAAAAATTCAGTGCATTATGTATATATAAATGACAGGGTCCTCAACAAATTTCTATCATATGCATAAATTTTAAGACTTTTTTTAATAAGAAATATTCCAGATTCAAATTGATGATAATACAGGACCCTATTTCAACAACTTTATAGTCGTGTCGACAAAACATACCCCATGATGCCAAAACTAGTTCAATCTGAATCCAATAAAGTATAAATCATATCATAAAAACATATTTAGATACTTCCTTTTATATATATATATAAGAATGACTGGTGGCTATTATACGAGCTCGGGTCGTCCCTCATGCGCCTAAGAATTTGAGTACCACACCCTACACTCGGGAAGATTCGAACCCCACAACAAGGAGACTTAAAACTGACAAACAGATGCTCAACCAACTGATCTGAATATATATAGGCATCAGCTTGTCAGTTTTAAGTCTCCTTATTGTGGGGTTCGAATCTCCCCGAGTGTAGGGTGTGGTACTCAAATTCTTAGACGCATAAGGGATGACCCGGGCTCGTATAATGGCCTCCAGTCATTCCTTACTTTAATTAGAAAAAGCATTGTCTTATTCTTTCGTACCAAATATCTTAACTCTAAAATCAACTTTCATTATTGAAAACTTTTATTTAAGTATACTATATATTTAGAAACACAAATATAGTTATCAAAACTTATCCTCTAATACCAAAGGTCATGTTAAATTAAAATTTTAAAATATAGCTAATTGAGGACAAATAAAACTTACTCTCATTCTTTTAAAGAAAATTTTCTTCCCCCCGAACTTAAATTTTTAAATACTTTGCAATCAATTTCGTAAAATATAGCAGGAAGAAAAAGTAAAAGTTGAATCTAATAACTACTACAACATCCTATCAAATTCATATACATTTATAATCAGGATAGAATGACTGCAGGAGAAAGTAAATCTAGCCTAAAACATTCATGAAATAATACTAAACTAAAAGGAAGTATACTCACTTTAAAATTTTATTTTTCTTCGTAACTGCTAAAATTGATTTTTAACATGTATAGCATTTAGTACAGAAAATATAAGTAGGAAGAAAAAAAATTTAAAAATTCTTTCTACCAAAAAGGTTTATAAAAAACATCTACAATTATTTATCAGGATAGAAAACATGTATTAGAAAGTAAATGTAATCTAAACATGCTTGATAAAATTAAAAGAAAGGTCTAACAAGAGGGATAGGTATTGTCATAAGAATATATATATTTATGTGTTCTCCAAATTTTTATATTATTGTAACACAAACACAAAAACACATGATAAATGAGGTCAATTTTTCCTTTAACTCATCGCATATCTTTGACTTACATCCAATTTCTAATGAAATCACTACACAGATATATTAGGTACTTATAAATGATTTTATAGATGCTAATCCCAAAGATAAAATTATCTCAGATATACTGGTTCTCAAGCACCAGCCCTAGGCATCACTATATCTCATAATTAAGTACCTCTAGTAGTTATAAAGCTAGCGTAATATCATCCACATGTTACTCATCAAATAGGTTCGCGACTCCTATCAAATGAAAATAAAGCTCGAGAAAAGAAGTAACAAATATGAGATGGAACTGTCACTGTTAAAATTCATAATGTCTCTTATAAAACTCAAGTTCGGGTGAGACCCGAGTTGTAGTGGACCCGTCAACCCAACTACTACAAGAGAACATACAAGTCTAATCATAATAATAATTTAAGAAATCATCTCTCTCATGACACACGAAAAACAAATCAAAATACTAACAATCCAACCATCTACCAAACATCAAGCAAAGAGGTCAATCCACACTAAAGCAAACACAATACAACACTAACAATCATGACACTAAACTGAACCACACTGATAACTATGGGTTGCCTCTCATATAGCGCTTGGTTTAACGTCGCTAACCCGACAAATGATTCCACTTAGATCAAAATTCCAATTAAGTAATCCTTGATCAATCGCCCAATCTTTTCCAGATCTAGGGATTCCTACAAAGTCCTCAAATTTAAAATTTTCTTTCATCTCTTCCTCATATCCTTGCTCCTCATATTTCCTTCTAGATCCAATATTCTTCTAGTAATTTTCTCAATTTTCATATTAATATCATCCTTGAAATTTATAAGAAATGGATCTTTATATGATACTTCATGATCTCCAAAATTTTGGATTGGATTCTCTCTAGATAATTTAGATTCTGGATCAAATTCTTTTAGGTTACACTTATCTTTCAAATTATCTTCTAATTCTTCCCCACTGTACTAAGTAAATTATGGAGGTGGTCTTTCTATATATCTTTCTAATTCCTCAAGAATTTCTTCCATTGGTCTTTCAATATCCTTATCCTTATCTCTCAACTTAAAGTTCTTTTGAAACATATCCTTGAATTCTCTTCTAAATATTAGTTCCATAACTTTATATTGCTCATCATTTATCTCTTTAGAATTTATCTCAGGGTCACTAGGTAAAATCTCTGGGGGGTAACTGTTAATTGCATTAATAATCTAACAGCATCAGAATCTCATTCATTTTGTATGTATATCATGAAATATGTCATTCAATGACTTTGAATAACTCTGTCTTGGGAAGGAGTCTGCCAATATTTACTTCTTGAACCCATCTAGGGTCCACAATCTTTAAAAATTAGACCAAATCTCTAAGCAGCTCTTTCTGAACCCAATGGTCATCTCATTGACCTTTTGGTCAACCCTGGACAGTATGGTCACCACATTAACCATTTGGTCAACCTTTGACTATATGATTACCACTTCGACTTTATAATTGGTCGAATTACCATATGGTCAAAACATTATCATATGACCAACCTAATCATCACCTTTGTCAACTCTAGGACCCTATTAGTCAAACTTTGTCCATTCGTCAACTTTGGGACCCAATAGGTCAACCCTGGTCACTTGGTCAACCTTACACCATTGGCCTTTTGATTAAATTTTCAATTCTTTTTATTCATTGAATATTTAATTCATGAAAAGAATGAAAATTAGGACTCATTAGACCTAGGATTCAAGCCCTAAAATTATGACCTATTCTTATGGTGACTTAAATCCATACATGACAACTTAAGAGTTTAAGCCCATGCTAAATGCTTAAGCTCAAATCCAACCCATGGAGGATTACTATTGGGTTACCCCTAACTCATAAAGCCCACCATGACACACCGAACCCATGAAAACCCATTAAGACACTTAAAGCCACCAATTTTGACTTTTTCAAAAGTAGTCATGAGGGAGGGATACTTGGCTACACACATGGCACCCACTTCACCCTCATTGGATTAACATGGAATGTTTGAGCCAGCTCACTTTTGGGGTCCTTATCCACCTCATCACCCTTCTAGCCATAGCCACCATTTTCACCGTAATTGAAGCTCATCATGAGCACACCATTAGGAAGCTCAACATGGTTATCTTCATCCAAGAGTTTATCTTCAAACTCATCATGAGCCACCTCCCTTCCCCTCCAATTGAGTTCAAACTTATCCATGGCTTCCCCATGGCTATAAGAAGCCAACCCGAGGGCTCCCAAAGGAGGACCATACATGCAATCTCTAAAAATTGTTGCACACAACAACAAACTTCTTCCCATACTCTAAGCAACCAATCCCCATAGTTTCAGCTTCTTTAATCCATCTCAAAGCTCCAATTTTCCACCACAAAAACAAGAAAATTTTTTTGACCTAAATGATGCAACTTTTTTATATGCTTAATTTTATATATTCTATATAATCACAATAATATAAACGCAAGTATATGTATCACTCAATAAATATAGGGATCTAATAGAGTCCCGTTTATCGATCACACAGGGAAGCGAGATAAGAGGTCTTTAGTCAAAGTTCTAGTCCACTACATCAAGCCTTAGATTGGAACGTCGATTAAAATGATATTTTATCTAGCAACTACTCCTAAATGCGAATGTTAAATGTAAGGATAGTAACTATTCCTAAATGTAAATAAAATTCTAAAGATAACCCTTTTTGGATGAGTTGGTTTGGAGAACTTTAAGATATTAAAAATATTATTCTTATGTAGCGAATTGGATAATGTAAAAGAATGAGATACATTAAATAATGTATGAGAGAAATTTTAATTCTCAACACTGATTCAATGTTATAGAAAATCATTGACTAATCTAAGGTTTAGTCCCTAAATTCATGGCTAGGCTAGGAGGATACTGGCTCCCGCTCCAGAGCTCCCACTTCCCTTCCCCTGAAGGCTAACTCTCATTTTAGTTCTTAAATACTAGGACTGAATTGGGGATTTTAGTATGTCACCCTAAAATCTCTAATTCTACGCCCAACAATGTATATTTTCTTATTTATTTGCACTTAATTTCATGAATAAAATATTCTTTCATAGAATCAGATGTGGTTCCACTTTGTTGAGAATTACACCGCCC